TTTGTATGTGGTTCAGAGTTTTGGGACCAGCCCCTGAGCCTGCTTGGTCAGTTATTTTGTGTTGTTGCTGGCGGAGCTCCTTTAATGCACATCCACTCGATCCGCCATCTTGTTTTTCTCAACAGCAGCATTCTTTACATGAACTTCTGTGGTGCTTTAGGATCAGCACTGGACTACAAACCACTCAACAAGAGTTTTTTACATGCTGTCACTCTTCATTATAATTACTAGTTTGTCTTTCCCACACTAGACTCCAAGCTCTTTGAGGATGGAGATTGTGACTAATAGAGAATTATATTGCTGGAATATAGTAAATAACAAGTGTTTGTTTTTAGCAGTGAGTAAGCAAAGAAATAGGCTTTAATTTGCCATATTTAGTTTGAAATAAGTCTCTGTCATACTTTGTGACTTAGCATTAGGTTTTATTTTTTTCTCCATTTCCAGAAATGGTCGTGAGTCTACAAAAGCAGTTTAGCACACTGGTTGATTCAGCACCAACTGTTGAAAATAAAAGCCCTTCAAGTTTTCAGTTCAACTGGACTGAGGAAGACACCAATAAAACTTGTTTCCATGGGCATAGCCTCCAGGGAATCCTGAAGAAAAAAGGCCAGGCACTGACAACCAAGAATTCACTGTACTGGCTTAGTACACAGAAATTCTGCAAAAGGTACATGATGTTCTTAGTAATCAAAAGACTTAATGCTTGGTGAAAATCCCAGTTTGGTTCTTTTCTAATTAAAAAAAGTCATATAATTTAAAATAGTTGGTTATAATAGCTGTCAGACAGGTTATTTGTTAGAATTAGAAGATGGCGGAGTTATCTAGACGATGTACATTAGAAATTGAGTCTTGTGTGAAAATTTTAGGAAGACAGGTAAAAATCAGTAGCACAATTATCACAAACCTGTTCTTCCTAGCTTAATTAACCTGCAATGAAACAGCCAAAGCAAAAGAGATGGAAATGAATACTGATCAGAAGAGCTGTAATTTTTAATATAATTTATTTTTCTGAGTAGTTGCTTCAAGTCCCTTTACCTCTGAAGATTTCCTCATGCATTACCTAAAAGTACAGATATTCTCCTAAGTAATCACAATACAGTTAAGAAATTCTGGAAATTTAATATTGATATGTTCTTTTTTTCTAATCTGTAGTGCATAATCCAGTTTTGTCAATAATAACGTCCTTTATAGCCCTTTTTTTTTGTTTGTTTTTTTCCAGTACAGGACCAAATCCCAGATAGGTATTACATTTAATTGGGTTTGTGTGATGTTTCCTTGTTTAGATTCAGTTTATGCCTCTCTAGCGACTCTGGTAGTGTAGTGGTAACAAATCGGGCTGCTAACCTCAAGGTCGGCAGTTATAAACTACCAGCTGTTCCACAGGAGAAAGATGAGGCTTTCTGCTCCTGTAAAAATTCGCAGCCTCAGAAACCCTGTGTAGGGTCACTATGAGTCGGAACCGACTCCGTGGTACTTAACAACAAAACAGAATAAACGATGTATCCTTGTAAGGCTATTGCATTTGGAGACACATGATGTCTTATCTACCCTTCAGATGTTAATGTTGATCATTTGGTAAAGGTGGTTGGTGTTTCTTTTCCCTTTGCAACTAATATGAAATCTGTGAAGAGATTTAGTTGTTTGTTTGTTTTTAAGTTTCCATTGTGAATTGTGTGATCATCTACATCAGAGAATATCGGTTTTGCACTCATCCTATCTTATTTCCTTTCATTGCAATGATTACAATCCCCTCCGTGCATCATCATTCAACAGTATTTGCTTCTATTCCCTCTGGTTTTAATTTAATTTAATTTTATTTTATTGGATATACACAAAAATACTCAGGAATATATAATTATTTAAACAACCTGGCCATCAGCACACTGCCTTTCTCTTTCCATGAGTCTGGAGTCCTCAGCTGCTTTGTCTCTCATGTCATCATCTCTGACTCCATCGCTGGTATTGCTGCTTCTCTGGATATAGTTCCATATTCTGCCTGTACTTCTCCCTTAATGGTCCTAGGGTCCTCTGTTCCTGGAATGTAAGATTAACTACTCTCTCTTTTATGTTACTAAACTTCTACCTTACAGTTGTGACAATTGCAATTAGTCATAATAATTACTCACTATTGAATCATAAGAATCTTATCCCATCCCCTTTAACCAGACCCTTCTAGACAAGATGAAAACTATTCAGTGGGTACTCAACCTTCCCCGGCACACTCTGAAACTAAACTCTCTCTCGAAAATTTGTAAGCCAATTAATCACTTTGTGTTTTTATAGGTGCCCCAACTCCCAATTTTAGGTAGCCAATGTCTAAGTTGCACATCCCTATCAATCCTGTAAACAGATGGGATATGATTGATCCTTGATGTGAAGACTCCTTACCTCTCAGTTGATATTTTGAGCTACTACATCCCTAAGAATGATCAAGTTCATCAAATTTATACTTGTTTCCTTTATCAAATTTTTTTTATCTTCCCCAAGTCGAGTTCTAATCATCCATCCATCAAAGCTAGGTCAAATGGGTACTGCCTGCAAGTTTGGGCATTCTTGTGTCTCCCCTCACTTCATATGAGCTGGATGCTTCTCTCTTAGTTCTAGCCCTCCATGGCTATGCCCCTGTTCATGGGCTCAGGAGTACTCAGATCTCAGCATACTTTGTACCAACCAGCCCTTCCTCTTCTCTCATCTCCAGGCTAACGGGAGTCTATGGAACGTGGTCAAACTCAGCCCATGTCTTCCTTGCTGCCTTTCCCCCTCTTCCACTCACCAGTAGCCCAACATGGTCACCAGCAGCTTACATCCCTGCTCATGTGTTCCCTTTGAGTTTCAGTCTTGGAGGGAGATTTGTCCTGAAGGGACTTGATTACTTGCCTTGATGGCTCACCATTGAACAACTTGCTTGTTCTTGTAGTAGCCAATCAGACTGCCATTTTTGTTTGGGATTTTTCCTGCTGGTCTTTCTTTAAAGAAGTATCTTCTGTGTCTCTAGCTGCTCCAGGCTGGTCTGCATGTCCTTTCAAGTGGCAAGAATCTTCCTACCTCCGAAGATTCTGAATATCAGGATTCCACCTAAGGTCCTATACACTACAAAGGTTCTGCAAGAGGCCTAATTCACTGGGCAAGTTCTTGAACCCCTTTTAGGTATTCCAATTAGTTATAGGCTGAAGACGGACTTACAAGCTTTCTGTAAACATATTTCCCAATATTCCTGTAGCGTAGTGGTTACGAATCGGGCTGCAAACCTTAACATCGCAGTTCTAAACTACCAGCCTCTCCGCAGGAGAAAGATAAGGCTTTCTGCTCCCGTAAAGATTTACAGCCTTGGAAACCCTGTACAGGGTTGCTATGGGTCGGATCCGACTCGATGGCACTTAACAACAACAACAACATCCCACTCAAGTGTCTATTTTACAGTAATAGGCAAGGGAACCAATATTCATAAGACAGTGAAGCATTTTAACATTGTTTCCCTCTTTTACCCATTCAGACTATGCCTTGTGGAGAGAATTCTGACCAGGCAAATATATCCAGCTCCTTATTAAACATCAGCCACCAACCCCTCTTGATTTAATAGACATTGATGATTCTTACTTGAACTAGTCTTGACTACCATGGTTATAAAATGTATCAACATGTGTCAGTTGACAGCTTACTATAAGAAAGATCCCTACCTCTTACCTCACTTTTTGATTTATTGATCATTTATTATCATTGTGGACTCAGAGTTGCTATTTTATTCATGGACTGCAATTCATTAATGTTCTTTTTAAATGTGATTTTCTAGTTGTCCCATATTTGACCAGTTAAGAGTCCCTTCAATCTGGTCCCTGTGTCCTTTTGACATGCCCCTTATTTATTTATTATTATTTGTTTTTTGAGCTCTTCTTTACAGCACAGTAAGAGATTCCAGGCTCATCTTTATATCTTCCTGTCTCATCTTAGTATCAGCCATTTCTACAAAGAACCTTTACTTCTTTTCACACTGATTTAAAATTACATCAGAAAAATACTATTGCTGATGACAACTGTTTCATTTATTTTATTTTAACATTTTATTGTGAATTGAGTGAAAGTTTGAAGACAAGAATATCAGATTTACATTTAACAAATAAAACACTTTGTTTCATCTCAATGATTGTAGTCCCTTCCATGCAACAACAATTAGGTCACTTACTCTCTGTGGTTCCTTTTTGCATTCTGCGTACCTTTTCATCCCTTCTCAGATTTGTCCTTAGGAAAATGTTACCCTTTTGGTTTTTAATGTTTGACCATTTCATGATGAGCATACCTTAGTAGTGCTGTTGTCCCCTCTATATACCTATCTATAGCTTGACTGAAAAGTGGACCACGAGTGTGAGTTTTTTTCCAGAACTGAAGATGTGATCGAGGACCATAGTCTTAGGTTCTTCCCTTTCTTAACAGTAAACCTGATCTTTGTTTTTAATCATTTTGAGATTTGTTCCACATTTTCTCCCACTTTTATCTGGGACCCTTTAATGTGATCCCATTTAGAGCAGTTGGTAGTGGTAGCCGGGCACTGCCTGGTTCTGGTCACAAGAGTCGTGGAGAATGATGTCCACAATTTCCATTAGTCCATTGGACTACTTGATTTCAAGCCTCTTCAATTCTCATCACTCTTTCTTTTACATATGGAGAGACCAGTAACTGCACTTCAGAGCTTTTAACATCCCAGACACTACTCACCAAAGTAGAATGTAGACCATTGTCTTTGTGGACAATGTTATGCCAGTTGACCATGGTTATGACACCTGTTTTAATTATATGAGGGAACTTCAAAAAATTCTTAGAGAAATTATGTTTTAATTCCATTTTTCCTTGAAGTTTTTGATTCTCCTTCATATAGTGAGTGGAGTGGGTGGCTCTGTAGGATAAGCACTGGATTGCAAAACCAAAGGTCAGCGGTTTGAACTCACCAAGCTCTCCAACTATATGAGGCTATTGAAAGTACCATGCCTTCAGTCAGGCCCACCTTAGTCCTCAAACTGCTCTTGAACATTTTAAAGAGGTCTTGTGCAGCAGATTCACCTAATGCAATACAGTGTTTGATTTCTTGACTTCTTCCATGAGTGTTGATGTTGGATCCAAGCAAAATGAAGTCTTTGAAAACTCCAGTCATTTCTCTATCATGATATTATTTATTGGTTCAGTGGTATGGTAAGAATTTTGTTTTCTTTACATTGAGGTGCAACTCATACTGAAGGCTGGGTTCTTTGGTCTTCATCAGTATGTATTTTAAGTCTCCTTCACTTTCAGCAAGCAAGGTTGTATCATCGGCATGTTGCCAATGATTAATAAGTCTTCCTCCAGTACTGATGCCATGTTGTTCTTCATATAATTCAGCTTCTCAAATTATTTGCTCATCATACAGATTGAATAAGCATGGTGCTCACCTTTCATGATTTTAAACCATTCAGTGTTCCCTTGTTCTGTTCAAATGACTGCCTCTTGGTCTGTGTACAAGTTCCTCATGAATATAATTAAGTGTTCCAGAATACTCATTCACCACAGTGTTGTTCGTAGCTTGTCATGCTCCACATAGTCAAAAGTTTTTGTGTAGTCAGTAAAGCACAAATACACATCTAAGATCCATCTGACATCGGCAATGACATCCTCATCTGGCTCTGGCTTGAACCACTGGCA